TTTTTCTAAAACCAGGGGATTGTAATGGGGCAGTGTCTCACTTGGAACTCTTTCAATCACCAACCAAAAAACATACTGGTTTGCTAAGTACTGAACTATACATTAAAATCTCCATAGATAAACTTAAATGTTGTGAGACTGAATGTCTGTAGCATGCTAAGTTGGAGGCAAAGCCAGTACTTATGCCTTATAGTTTACACAGTTTATATGATAAAAGTACGCAAAGATACAAAGATGAGAAATAAATGTTGTGTCCCCAGAGTTACACCATAACTTCTAAGTAAAAGAATATATATATATAGTCTCCTTCCTTATTCTTTGCAATTCAATCGCTGGCATAACTTTAAAGACTGGCTTTTGAGAGACATATACTTGGAAAGCCCATATAACCTATTCAAATCCTATTTTGAAAGGACTCCAGGTATGAAGAGCATGAAATGTCTATATCCTCCAGTGACTTACTGAGATACTTGCAACATTAGCCATGGAAAAATGACCTTGTCTAACATAAATAGCTAGAAGAATAAAATTCTAGTTGATCCCATATGGGAAGGTAGTAGACAAAGTAGAATTTCACCACACATAATTTTTTTTTTAAATTTCTGAAATTAGCAGCATCCTTATTTTCTAGAAAAGCCTCGGTATTGGCTTTTCTAGAATGTGGTCTTTAGTAAAAAAATTTACCAGCCTTATTTCCTAGTGAAAACAAACACTACTTGACATTGTATAAGCCTGCTTGTTCAGTAGTTTTCTTGAGTATGCATTAAAATTCTTTTCTGCAATGGGTCCTTATCCAGAAAAAATGTATAATTTTTGCACTTCTCTTTACTGAAATTAGTAACTCAAATCATTCCACTTCAGTGGGCTTTAGCTAAATTAGGGCACAGAAAAGTCTTTGTAGGCTTTGGCTAATAGATTATTTTTTGAAGATTACTCCAGCAGAACTTCAGACTAAATTTGAGTGCTTTAGAAGTTAACAAAATGTTTTCTATAGAAATTTTCCACCACGTCAGCATAATTCAGGAGCATTTCATAATCTTTCTGTTTACTGTCTTATCTAATCCATTTGAATGTTCTCAGTTTTTTGTTCAGCACTATAGAGCTATATTTTGATTTCCAATTGCATATATATAATAAACCTTGTTGAAAACATTGTTGAATCTGATATACTCCAATTGCATATATATATGTTATATAATAAAATATTATATATATATATATAATAAATATATAAAATAAATATATAATAAAATAAAATATAAATATAATACAATATATATTATATATATGCAATTGGAGTATATCAGATTCTACAAGGTTTTCTCAAAGAGATTGTATCCCTGTATATATAAATACTAATCAGAGAAGAAGGAACTGAGTAACTTTCTCTGCTTTTGCTGTAAAAGCCTTTGTATGAGGCATGACACGTCTCCATTACAGTAACTCTGCCTGAGGAAATCATCTTCCCTGGCATTCAGCGGTGGCAAAAGGATTTTAGGAGGCATTGTGTGGCATTTGAGGGACATGGCTTAGTGGATAGTTTTGGCAGGAGGTAGATGCTTGGACAAGATTATCTTTGAGGTCTTTTCCAACTTTAATAATTCTATGATTCTATGATTCTGTGGTCAGACCTTCCTTTTTCTAGACTCACTAACACTGGAGATGATGTTCTCAGTGATTTGTAGATTCCCAGCACTCTCCGTTCCCTTCTCCTTTGTCCACTCCAGTTCTTACTATCATCATCTTGTCATTCATCACCTCTCAGTCTCTGGTGCTGGAGCTCTGAATGGTGCTGCCAAAACATTTGGTCTCCAAACCCTTCATCGCCATCCCTGAGCATAGCCACCCTCTTCCTTGTAGGTAACAGCCTTTGCCATTTTAATTCAAACACTTCACTACAGGCACTCAGTATCCTAATGCTCCTCTGTCAAATGTCTCTTAGTCCTGGCATACGGCAGGAATTGGTATCATGAGCTGATACTCCTCAGATGTGGAAGGAAATTGATGTATAAAGGAAAAGAAAGCCTTTCCCCATCTTCTTTTGTTCCTTATATTTGCCTGAAGCTGGGTGCTCCCTGAGCGTTCAGAGGAGAAAAGTTTCTTTCTTCCTGAGTGGATTTCTCTACTCTGCTGTGTTGGATATGTTAACCTTATCTGTTTGAAAGGTCCATGGAGGTACCGGTTAGAAACAGTTTCTAGCCTGAAGCTTGCACCACAGAAGCAGTGGGAACAGAGAGAATATTTTCTTATTTTAAGACAAAAAAAAGAACAGGTTATTTTCCCAGGGATTGGAGGGAGGAGAAAAAAAGGAGAATGCTTAAGTGCCAGGTGATAATGTCCATCACACTGCTCAGTGATGAAACTAAGAAGACAAAAATAGACAAAGTGACCTCATGGCTTTTGGCAGCAATACCTACTAGACAAAAGAGAGGCTTTAAAAGGCTTGTGGAACTGATAGCAAAGGGCTTGGACACCTCAGAGTTTTTGGTTCTGATCCAGCAGGAAGCTGCTTTGCTTCTCTCCGATTGCCTCTCTCTGTTTATGGGGAGCTGTGAGTTAAACGGGCTTTGTGACATGCCCAGCTCTCCAGGTCTGGACTCTGCCTTCTCAAGCTTGGATCAGCCTTATGCAGGTACAGGTGTCTCCTCATTTGTATTTTTTTTTTTCTCTTTCATTTGTCCTCTCCTCTCCTCTCCTCTCCTCTCCTGTTCTGCTTCCACAGATCTTTGTTCCCCATTCATTTCTCTGTTCTGCTTTCACTCTTCCTGTTTTTCTTCAACAAGTCATCTTAGGAAGATTCTGTTTTTTTCTTAAAACATTGTGAGATATTGTAGTTTGAATACTGTGATCATTTTTTCTGTTGGGATAATGGCTGTAGTTTGTTCTGCACTCTAACCTTGATAAGAAGGAGAAAAGGGAAGCAAGTCTCAGGTCTTGCTCTTGCCCTGAAAGCAAGTCTCACAGCCTCAGTTTCCAGCTGCTTCTGAGCATGGAGTAGTTCAGACCAACATCCTAGGGAAGCTATGTGTAGATTTTAATGCTGAGTCTGGCCCAACTGTTGGTGGAGGCATAACCAAGACTATCTACAGTATTTGCTAGCCCACACTGTAGAGTTGAACCCTTTCACAGTGTACTGCTGTCGAAAGAGGCTCAGGCACTCACTCTGGCTGGTGTAACTCCCTAGCTGTTAGCTCCTGATGCACAATATCTTCCTGTGAGTCACTCAAACAGAATTTACATAGTGTGAATGAGATTTAAATTCTGTAGCAATGCTCTTTCTCTTTATTTTTTGTAGAAGCAAAATATGAGCTTGGTGAGGTATAGTGACTGGATGCTTGTAGAAAGAAAGAAATGTCTTGTTTCCTCCACTGGGAACCCCCTGCTTCCCCTGGCACAAGCATGCAGATTTCTAAGTGGAGTGAACAGACCTTCAGGGATTGTAATTCATTTCCATCATGGACAGCTGATCTTTGAGGGGAGTCCACAACTGTTCTGAATAGCACTAAGTCTCCACAAAATCCTGGTCACTGTTAGTCTTGGTTCAGCAAGGTGGAGTCAGTATGTAAGGAAAGCTTTTCAGAGAGCCTTTACTCTCCAAATGCAAGTGTAAATGATGAGCCATTTGCACAGGTTAGAACTGATTTGGCTTCTTCTAGATTTCTTGGTGCAAAGGGGAGGAATGGACTGAGCATCCAGCTCAAGTAACCAAACAGGTGCCCTTGCTGAAATCACAGGGTAGCAGCATGTGCTGTGAATGGCTCCAAGCCTTGAGATCGGTCAAAAAATTGGACAAAGTGATGCAGTTTTTTGGCAATTAGAGGCAGGCAGTGGATGGATTTCTCATCTGTACAGCCGTGCTGGGAAAAAGACAATGGGAGTAAGGAAAAGAATAAAATGAAAAAAACTGGAGATTATCTTGTGGCTTGGGTTTGCTCTACCTTTTTTCTCTGCAAGGTTAGTGCTGATTTCTTGAACACTGATTGTAGTGAAGTCCATGCTTTTCTCAGGGTAGCTGAGTTTGGTTTTCTGTTGGATCTTGCTCACACTATGCTTTCTCTACACATGGGGTAGAGAACACAGTGTTCCTCACTGGGGCTTTGCTGTCCACTGGACTGGCAGAGCAGATGGAAAACGATTATTCTGCACTTTCATGCCAGTGTCCCAACAGGTGTCAGCTTTTCCAGGCAAGCCTGTGTAAGTAGATTCCTTCTGGGCTGGCTGATCGGTCATAGAGGTCTGGGATTCTTGCTCAGGAGCAAATGGTCTGTTTCCTTGCTGGGCTTGGGGCACAGACAAGGGACTGCAGCAAGGGTAAAAGCATGCCTCCTGCTGCCGCAGGGCTGCTGCAGGGAGCAGTGAACAGCCCTACACACGGTGTTGATGTAAGACACAGACTATAACTGTCACTGCGGGGCCCAGGCACCAGCTGTTCCTGCTGAGCACCTAAAAACTATGACTCCTGTTGCACACACACATCTGAACTAACAGTACTGATGGCTGCTTTCCAGACCTCTAGAGGAACTGCTTGCTCCTAAGTATCCACCATATGGCAGGAGGAAGATCTGCATATCACAGGGCTCCACCTTCAGGGTGATAAGTAACAGGGTGATAAGTAAATGCTCCAGATTCCCAGGATCAAAGACACAAATTTCAAACACACTGTGAAATACAGCCAGGGACTCTTGTCCACATGCTGCAGAAGTAGGAAGTTCCAGATCTGACCAGAAAACAGAAACCGTCCTTTAAAACAAAGCCAGTTCTCTTTCTGCACCCATAGAAACTTCACTGATAGTGTTTGCATGGAAAGAGGAAACTGACCTGGGTTTCTATCAGCAGTTACAAACAATGCTTATCAGCAAAGGTTGGACAGAAAAGATAGGGCAGATGGTGTCAGTATGTCTCCTTTTTTGAGCACTAGAATACCTACAGCCATATCACTGCCCATCTATGCCCATCTAGCCTCTTGTGGAGCTCTGAGCTTATCTTTCTGTCTCTTGCAGAGCTTCACCGCCACGAGAGCATCCAAGAGAAGAACGTGAAAGAAGCCAAAACCAAGTGCAGAACCATTGCATCCCTGCTGACAGACGCACCCAACCCCCACTCCAAGGGGGTGTTGATGTTCAAGAAGCGCAGACAGAGGGCTAAGAAATATACACTAGTGAGCTTTGGGAGTGTTGACGAAGACCGTTCCTACGAGGAGGAAGACGGAATTTTTCCAACTAGTGAGTCTGAATTTGATGAGGAAGGTTTCTCTGACGCCCGAAGCTTAACAAATCACTCAGACTGGGACAACACTTACCTGGACATTGAAAAGTCCAAGTCAATCTCTGAGCAGAAAGAAGAGAAGCAAAAAGGTTTGAGTGAAGCCTCGGGTAAAGGAGCACGGTTATTTGAACAGCAGAGGGAACGGGCAGGGAAGTACACAGTGGAAAAAGTCCCCGCACAGAGGAGCCCCCAGCTCACCCCAGCTGCCCAGCCACAGCCGGGCATGGTGAATGGAGATATGCCTGTGCCACAGAAGACAGCCAGTGTGCCCCTCAGCATCCACCTGGAAGGTGTGCAAGTTCCCAGCAAGATGCCAACCACCACACTTACTCAGGTCCTGGCTCCCCCCAGCCCCACTGTTTTCCCGCACCCCCCAGGCACACCTGACCCCTTCTCTTCAAGCACTAGTATGTTCAACAGATCTGCACGGCCCTTTACTCCTGGTTTTTCTGGCCAACGCCCAGCAACATCTTCAGTCATCTTCAGGCCATCTGCACCCAAAAAACCTAGTGAAAACCTTGGTGGACAAAGCACGGTGGTCTCCCCTTCCTCACCTCTTGCTCCAGGAACACCTGCCAGTGCCACAGCACCGACACACCGTGGTCCAGTGAGCTCCTCCACATCTCTGTATATTCCTGCACCAGGCAGGCCAACAACACCACTAGAATCACAGCCAAGAGCTGGAGGAAGCGCTCCAGAGACCAAGCCTTCTGCCAGCCCTGCACGGACATCCACTGCCTCTATATTCCTGTCAACTCCCTCAAAGCCAGGAGGGGAGGTGGCCTCTGCAGCATCTCAGCCACGAGTCCCTGGAACAGCCTCTTCTTCCTTGTATATTAGCCCAGCACCAGCACAGCATATGGTAAGCACCTCCCCGCTGCCAGTGCAGCTTTCTGCCAACTCAGCAGCAGCAACACCACGGCCTCCTTCTGAGCCCTTAACTTCCAGGGAGCAGAGGATTGCCGTGCCAGCTCCCCGCACAGGCATCCTGCAGGAGGCTCGCCGGCGGGGCAACAAGAAACCCATGTTCAGTAAGGTTGAGGAAAAGAAGAACTCACCCAACCCCGAGCTCCTGTCTCTGGTGCAGAATCTGGATGAGAAGCCGAAAGGTGACCACCTTGGGGCAGGCTTTGAGTCTGGGCCTGAGGAGGATTTCCTCAGCCTGGGTGCTGAAGCCTGCAACTTCATGCAGTCCTCAGGCCGCAAGTTTAAGACCCCACCTCCAGTGGCTCCTAAGCCTCAGCAGCAGGATGCTGGACTGGTAAATGGGGCCCATGACATGCCTCAGCTTAAAGGCAAGGGGGCACAGCTCTTTGCCAAACGCCAGAGCCGCATGGACAAGTTTGTGGTGGAGACAGCAACGAAGCCAGAGTCCAAGCCCAGGACCCCTTCACCTTCCCCTTCTCTGCCTTCATCCTGGAAATATTCACCCAATATCCGGGCTCCGCCTCCGATAGCTTACAACCCAATGCATTCCCCTTTCTATCCTCTGGCAGCCAGCAAGTCTCAGGCTAGTAAGGCAGAGAGCAAAGTGAAAAAGGCACCTGGCCAGAAGTCAGGGAACAAGGCCATTGATTTAATGCACCATCAGCCCTATCAATTAAAGTCAGCCATGTTCTGTTTTGGTGATCCCCCGAGCTCCAGCACTCAGAAGTCTCCTGGTCAGCCAGGCCAGCAGGCCAGCTCGTCCTTCACTGCAGCCAAGCAGGTCCCTGTGAAAACAGCCAAAACACAGGAGATTCGTCGCTTCTCCACCCCTGCTCCCATGCCTGCTTCGAGCAGCTTGGCACCCACTGTGCTTGTGCCCCGCTCAGCCACCACGTTGGATGAGCCCGTGTGGAGAACAGAAATGGCTTCTTCTGCTCCTGCTACCCCAGCACCCTTCCAGATGGAGCTCAGCCAGTCCCCTAAGCCATATCAGAGTTCCCCAGAGTTTGGTCAGGCAAGCCTGGGGCCCTCCCCAAACCCAGCTTCAGCCTCTCGTTTTCAGGTGGCCAGGCCCAAATTCTCAGCAGCCAGAACAGGAATGCAGGCGAATGTGTGGAGGCCAAGCTTTGGCCACCACTGAGGCACGCATCATTCCCATCCCATCCATGGCCCTGCAGAGGTAGTGTTCATTTTGTCTTTCTTGTCAGCTCAGTATGTTGGGGTGGTGTGACACAAAATGAAGAAAAGAGAAAAAAAAAAGTACTCCCCTTCTGCACCACCTTCTCCCCCCACCTCTCTTTGAACCTGGATAGGCAGCTTCGTGGCAAGGCTTATGGCTGTGGCTACAGATGAAGGAAGAATGTGCAGAGAGGGCATGTGTGGTACTCAAGGACTGAGAACTCACATACAGCAGCAAAGCACACCTCTGGAGAGGTGAACTGTAGCTGTTGTCTCACAAGAGGATGTGAAGTGGTTTTCCTCTGAGGGCTTTGGAGTCAGCTTTGAATGAAGAAGTCTTGAGGGGACAAAAGCCTTGCTGGAAGAAAGGATTCCAATGCAGAAGTCCTACCTTTCCCATAAAACTGTTTTTTTAAAAAGCCTGTTAGTCTGTACATGTGCACTTGTATGCCCACATGTACACACACTGAATAGCAGTAAAGCAAAAGGAGAAGTGGGCTCTGCCTTGTACAATTCTGCCAGATACCCCTTCTGAGAGGCATGGGAAAGGAGGTAAGGGAGCAGAGCAGGAGTGTTGGCATGCACACACAGAAGCAGCATGCACTGTGCAGGAGGATGACTATGGGTGCCTGTTCCTCTAGTCACTAGGGCTGGAGTTGAAAGGGAGTCATCTAGCTGGCACTAAACACAGCTGTAAGGTCTGGGAGCAGTTTGACAGTGGGGCCTTGAATATACTTGCTAGGCTACCACAACCTGGAGGAATCACGGAAGGAAGTGTTAAATTTTGGAGATAAATAAATAGCAAAGCTGAGCTCAGGCTGTGGCTGGTAGGCTCCAAGCAAGCCCTGCAGCACTGGTCCCACTGAACAGGAGATAGATTCTGTAAGTATAAAGAAGGATTGTGTAGGAAAAGGTAAAGTTGCCTTTAAAAGGAAGCAGGATTGAATATGCATTTATACATGAGCTTTTTGTTTAGTTTAGGAAAGAAATATAGCTAGATTGGAAGTGGTTCACTACATAAAACTTCCTTAAAATTGTTGCGCTGGAAAATATATCCTCTCTACAGATAGTCTCAGCAGGAGAATGGGAGACAGAGAAATGGAGTCATCAGTGAAATTTCATACTAAATGACTTAATTATCCATGAGATTATTTGATAAAAACTGAAGTGCTTTGAGATTCCCAGAGGATCTGCATTCTTACACATGCATACAGAGCTCAATCTGCTGGCAGTGCTGGGGAAATACGACTAGTTATTCTTTGAATGTCCCAGGCTAGATCAATAGCGTATAAGAAGAAAGTATTCCCTTTACTAAGGAAGAATTCAGGGTATCAGTAGGGTTTCTTTGCATGTGCGTGTGTGTATCACATGTGCTCTGGTCCATACATCCCTGTCATTTGCTTTCCTGCCCTTTCTCCTCCTTTTGTAGCAGTTCCACACATTGGGCTGGAGAATCTCACTAGCAACTTAGTCCTGGACAAGTTTGAGAGGGAGAGAATGAGAGAAAAGTAAAAGCAATACACAATCCTTCCAGATCTCTTTGAATCCTTCAAGTCTGGCTGGGCTTGCTTTGCAGACCTGTGTTTGCAGCATTCATTGATGGGGACCCTGGAATGTAGAAAATCATGCTGGAGAAGGAGGAGAAAAACAATTACATCTCTCTTGGCAAACTATCAGCTGTGGGAGACGATGGAGAGAAAACCTTTGGGAATGTCCTGCGTTAATAAGAAAAGGGATGCAACTGGTTGTATGACATGGGAGCAGCCAACCTCAAATGATGAGGTGATGCTTTTTCTTCCTGGAAAACCTCAGAAGGGAGGTCTTAGCACAAGTCTTCACTGCAGAGTTAACTCAGGCCACCAGAATCCACTTCAACTGCGGTGAGGGAGAGCAGCCACGCCACAAAACCTGACTTGCACCATTACTTTCTCACTCATCCTATGCTGCACTACATTGCCATCATGTCAGGAAAAAAATATCAGGTGCTTAGCAAGCTAAATCTCTGTGATTCTTCCCAAAGAAAGGAAGCCTTCTATTTTCCTAGGAAAACCATGGAGAGGAACTGAAGGACTGGTAGTGCTTCAAAAGCTTTGTCTACAATCTTTTTGTGGAGCACCGGCTGGCTGTCACTGGCTGATAGTTTTAGCCACTAGCCTTAGACAGACCAGCTTGCCCAGGCAGAAAGTATCACTGAACTCAGGTGTAGAGGGGTTATGTGGACCAGAGAAAAGGTGCTCAGGATAATTCTGCAGTGAAGAAATAATCTCAGAAATTCTGAATCTTACTATAGCGTTCCTGTCTCTCATGGACTTAAAGATCAAGTGTTGTCAGGGCCTGAGCATGTAAGGAATTTCATTTTGCCACTAGAAAAAAAACATAAGGAAAAGAGAGAGAGAGGTCTGGCTTTATCACACTTGTGAGATTGCATCTGGCCTGTATCTGGGTGGTGCTTCTCCAGATTTCTAGGATACACTGATGATGGCCAAACACCGTGGACTGTTACATGACAGGATCTGAGTGGAATAACTGGATTTGGTCCATCCTTCCGATAAGTCATGGAAAGAAGATGGAAAAGATTCAGGTCTGACTGGAGAACTGATATTGAACATGAGAGCAAGGAAAAGAATGAGGAGGCTGGGGATTCTGCATTTCACCTCTACCATTCTTGGTTCAAAGCCAGGTTTGGAAGGAAAGCTACCTATCCTATGAGGATCCTAGAGCAGGATCCACAAAAGCAGAAGGTGCTGCAGATGAGGCCTATAATGCTTGTGGAGTATCCCAAACAAGGCCTGTAGCTGCAAGTAATGCAGCTGAGATCTGAACTAATGCTGAGATGCATCTGCTAAGCTATAGGGAAGAAGCCTGCACAACTGCTGGCTTCAAGCAGGTCTGCTAGAGTCTGCTCATGAAACTAATGTGGCTGCCTGCTAGGTAACAGCTGAATCATATACAATTCACTTGAACCTCTCCAAATTTCAAATTCTTCAGCTGTTAAACAAGCACAGATGTAAACAGTTGTTGGACAAGTTTTAGTTCCCACCTGCTAATATATGAGCTGCAGTGGTAGGCCATACCCCAGCATCCCCTAATTAAGCATCTGAAAACATCTATGTGTGTTCTGATTTAAAACTGCTTATCATCCCTCCTCTCTAGCATGCTGCTATGGCAATTATGAGGATTTATCTTGGCTTCAGAAGTCAGTCTCTTCCCTCTGAATGTATAGGAACACTTGCCAGGGATAACCTCAAGTTCCTGTAGCAGCTGAGAGGAACTATCTCAGAAGGGACTGATGTGATGAGGAGTCACTTGTCACCAGACACAAGCACAGTGCCATCCAGGATTGTTCTCTGATTGAATTTACTCTCTTTCTGCTATAATATCCAGCACACACTATCAGGCCCTCTTCATAGAGGATACTCATCAGTGCTCTGAAAATGGGAGTTCCACAGCAGTGCTCTGTCTGGTGGCAGATGTGACCCCAAAAGGTGAATAGATTTGGTGTCTCCGTTTTTGGAAGTACATTTTCCTTTTCTGTTTTGTCTTTTTTTTTTTTTTTTTGCAATTTACAGTCACTTTCTATTTGTTTGTGCAGAAGAATAAACTTGTGATATGCACTTTACGTGTGGCATTTTGTCACCTTTGCTTGGCACCCAGAAGGAAGTACTGTTCACCTCACATGCAGTTTAGCACTACCACAAACTTCTAAAGCCACGAGAACATAAGGAGTCCAAAAAAAGGATAGGAAGTCTCGACAACAAAAATACCTGGGCTTAAGTTGGCCTTAAAGCTTCTACACATTAAAAAAAAAGACCCTGAAAGCAAAAAGTTAAGTGAGATGTAAACTTTGGTACTACAAGTTATAAAGCACTCACTTTCTAGTAAGACTAGACTACTTATTTCCTTATGGTTGGTGTCACAGCCCGATACAAATATCAGCTCTGCCTGTGCCTGTCCACTCTCAGCATAGCCTTTCATAATCCTGCTCTGCTCTAGCCCAGTGATCTATGTCTACAACAGAAAAAAATCCAGATAGGAATTCACAGAGGTGCCAGCTGTGAGTCTTTTCCAAATGCCTCTTCTTGTCTCAGTTATAGAACAGAGAGGAGTCAGTGTGAAATCTGGCCCTGCAAATTCCTGTTGTCCTAAGCTGCAGGGCTGTTAACAATCCCATCCTAGCAAAAGATCAGTCCAAATCTTTACGCTGCAAGGATGGGGCACAGCACCTGGCACAACCTAAAATGTATGTAGTCATCTTTCCCAGGCTCAGCCTGCGTTCCTCTACTATCCCCTGCTTGTAAATCCGGTGTTAACAACACTTTGTCAGCTCCAGTAAGTCCAAATACAAATCTACATTGTACAACCATTCAACTTATTAACTGAAAGATCAGAATATCCCATCAGTCAGAAGACCAAGTATAATCCACTAAGGATAGACTCCAGCTCTAACACTAACACAGTTCATGTTAAAGTCTGTTCACTTTGGGGTCCTGAGAGTTTCATTGCCCTCAGTTTAGGTCTAGTGTTAGCAGACCTTTTTTCCTAGATGTATATCACTCACAAGTAGAAATTCCTGAGCCCTACTGGAGAGGCAGGGGTAAGCTGTAGGATCAGACTTGCAGACTGGGCTCTGGTACAGCTATCATTTTATGGATGTTTCTCAGATTAATTGCTTGCATGGTGGTCTTGAGGTGGACCTTGTAACCATCCAGCATATTTCTGATTGATTTGTGGATGGGAAACACACAAATGAGTAAAAAAGTGAGCCAAAGTGAGCTTCAAGTCCAACCAGAAACTCAGTTCCCAAAGAAATAAGTCTACAGATGCACAGGCTACAGATTAGGACTGCATCTTGTTTTGCTTAATAAAGCTGACATAGTAGGATTACGAGCTATTCCAGATGGTTTAACACATTGCAGGACAGTTGCTGTGTTCAGGGCTCTGATTAAATTCCCTGTTAACCTCTGTAACCTTCTCAAGTGAGAGTCATTTCTTCTCACAGCAGGTCATGTCAGAAGGAGCCAGAAAAACAGACTTTCAAATGTGGAGGGGGAGCCAGCTATGAGTTTACTGACCCAAAGCAAAGCCAAAGGATTATTGAATGGCTACACAGAAGACTAGGGATGAAAGTGGACTACAGTGTGCTACTCAGCATTCTGAAATAAGAAAGTACCAAGGTGCTTAGTAGGGATACCTGCCTCCAAACAATCATTCTAGTTGGAAGGAGAAGCGTCCAGCAAAGTGCACGCCAAGCACGTATACAGAATATACAAAGAGTAAGGATATTTGCTGGCAGTACAGACCTATAGCTTTAACGGCCACTAGATGTTGCCACTGTTCTTTTCCAAATTATCTGGAGTTTTGGCATTCACCTGATGTGGTGTTAAATCTGGAGGGTGTAAAATCGTAGGAAATCCTTCCCTCCTAATCTATCCTGTTTTGACACTCACATACGACATTTCTTAGTACCACGTGCCAGAGGAGAAGACCAGCCTCATACCAGGGAGTTTTGGCAGTGGGAGGCCTGATGCAGCACGGAGGGCATTCCTGGGTTGCAGCACGTGGAGCATGCAGACAAACAGGCTGCCCAGCAAGGAACACCCCACAGTTACGCCAGCTATTCTAACACCCACTCCAGCACTGTGATCAAATCCTACATATTTCTATCCCAGCCCTAAATCTCATCATGCATTTAGCCCACGTAGTGGCAGGAGAGAGCCTAGCATTAACTATTTGTCCTATTGTGTTGCTACAACAAAATACTGTCAAGGCAAGTCTGCATAAAATTGGAAGAGATTAAGCATATAATACATATTTTGAACTATCAAATAAAATAACATAAAAAGACGTATTTGAAAATAAAAAAACTCCTTCCTCAAAAACCAATATGAATGTTTTGCAACTTCTTCTAGAAGAGATCAAATTACACTGAAGTCTTCTGCTTATGAATGTATTCACTGTGTTGTAGTCCTGGGCTCCAGGGAGAGAAAGGAGCAAAGCCACTCTGTATCCCTGGAAAATTAAAACAGTGAAGGTTATTTGTCAGACAAACTCTGCCTGCCAGGCTTTCACATAATCAAAATCTGCTTGGGAGACAGCCCTGCTGAGGACTGGCTCTTACTTATGCCCATCTAGTGCTACCTAATGAGACAGATCTCATCTGCTGCTCTTGAAATGATTTCACAGACACCAACAATTAGATGTCAGATCGTTTGAAATTAGGCACGTGGGAACTCAGCACAAAAATGAATGTTGAGTATACTGGACAGAGAAAGCAATGCTTTGTGCAGGCTGTTCCTGAGGCCACTTAAGTAAAAGGTATTTTTGGAAAGAGGGAGGTGGCCACAGTGACATGCGGGCAGTTCCTTCTATGATTAAAAACTCCTCCCTGAAGTACTGCAATGTCCTGGAGGCAGGAAACGTACTATCCTTGCTGACCTACGTGGAAACTTCATACTCAAGCAAGGACTGAACTTGGCCCCCAAATCTCACCACAGTCCAAGATGGGGAAAAGCAACAACAACAAAACAACGCAAAGAAACAAACAAAAACACAAATGAAAAACAAACAAAAAGAGAAACAAAAAACACCCATGCGACTCATCAAGCAAGTCTTCTAGTGATTTAAAGCTTCGAGGCTCGAGTAGAGCCCTACCACTACTTATTATCTACATTGTTTTCATCCTATTACTGAAAGCAGAGATAACAGATTGAAATAGTATCACCAGTGGAAAAATCCATTAAGCTGCTGAACCTGGCAACATGGCGGACCACAAGTGCAGTCTCTCCTAAGCCTGCCAAAGATGCTTCTAGATTACTGAACTACATATTTCTATTTCCCAGGGAAACTGCATAGAGAGAAGGAAGGAGCAGGATTTAGTTCTCAGCCTGGCAACTGAAAATGGAGACATATAGTTTTATGTGAAGACAGAGTAGGAGGTGAGAATCTCAGTTAAAGATGTGCCTTGGTGGTTAAGTGTCAGACACAAGACTGCTTTATCCAAATCGCCCTACAAATCCTGGTGCCATACTAATAGGATAAATCCTCTCTTACATTCTGTATGCGTTCAAGGCTCTGGCTCTGTTCAGTATGCTCCAGCTGCAATCTTAGGTCCCACATCTCACCGTATTTGCCTTGCCCCTAACCTCACTTGTCTCTTGCATCTTGGGATGGGGATAGAGGATTTTGGTCTCCTGGAGGTATAATTTGTGCACATGAAAGAACTGGAGATGACTGGAAAAATAATGCAGCAACTATAAAATGGCCTGAAAACAGTTGCTAGAAGCAAGTAGAGATGAGGCTGAGGAAACACTGTCTCAGCAGCTGCAAGAAGGTGCCAAATAGTGGTAGCTGCATTTCTCAGCTTTGTGTCCCACAGTATAAATCACAGAATCACAGAATCACAGAATTGTAGGGGTTGGAAGGGACCTCCAGAGATCATCGAGTCCAACCCCCCTGCCAAAGCAGGTTCCCTACACCAGGTCACACAAGTAGGCATCCAGGCAGGTCTTGAACATCTCCAGAGAAGGAGACTCCACCACCTCCCTGGGCAGCCTGTTCCAGTGGCTTGCATTCGAATCGAATCAAATCACATTCACTAGTTGATTATCAAAAAGAAATAGGCCCCCATGGGTCATTCTGGTCTATCTGCTGTTTTCAGTGAAGAATGCAACACTTGTCTGGACAGTGGGAAGCTTATAGCAAAGCGTTACGTGTTACTCCAGATGTGAATGGAGAAGATTAAGTGCTGTGCTATAGGCACAATGTATGGTACACACATAGGTGATGCGGATACAAGTGAGGGGAAAATGGGAAAATTTAGGCTAGCAGATTGCCAGATGTGCCCATAGGTCTCTACTTCCTCCTCACATATAAAGGGTACAGCCGTCTTAATGCTTTGTGCTTTTCAACACACTTTGGGAAGTTTTATACTCATTTGGTGCATGAAGAAACAGCTGTGCAAAGAAAAAGAGAAAGTGCCCATATCCTGACAGTATCAATTTTACTTGCAATTCTGCATGCTGAAGACCTTCTACTACAAACCATGCTGTGTTACTTTTCCCCCCACTAGATTCTAGGTTTATTTATTGGACAGCTTGATTCTGACCTGATGTGAAATGGAAGAGACAACATTTTCTGCAGGATTTCTGCTTTACATGAAATCTGAAAGGTATGTACACCTTTGGGTAACCTAGTAGGATGAGATACATTCTCTCCATCCTAGAAGGAAAACCCAAATGATTATGGGGGAGCAGGTAGAGTTGCCTCAGAAGAAGCAAGCAGGAGCTAAAAGAGAAGAGTAATTTGCACACACAGAGCTACACAATGTGCAGGCAACCAATCTTATTTCTTCCATGAATCCAGAAATGAGTCTCCTTGCAGTTTGATTCTTCTGAGTTTCCCACACACATTGCAAAAGCTACTTCCTAAGTCTCTCTAAGTAGCTTTCTAGACTTTGCACTACTTCTTATTTCATGCATATGATTATTTTATTTCTATGCTTTCTGGTGCATTATTTGAATGCCTGGCATTTTAAAAGTTATATATAAGAACCTAGAGGAGGTTGAGTTTAATGATGGAGAGGGGAGGGGACAGAAGATGGATGTAAAGAAGAGCATGACCTCAGATTGTTTTTTTGAGGCCTTACTGAGAAAAAGAATATTGAGAAACTATTACTAAAATGCAATAGAAGGAAGGGAAGAAGAGGAATGGCATATTGATTTGAACAGAAGCAGTGAGGAACATATGGAGTGCCTGGCCTTCCTGAGTACTCAGGCAGGGACTGCAGGAGGCCCAAGGAGCAACCTTTTCCTTTCCCCTTTCCTCAGGGCTTGTGGCAGTGCTATCTGAGACTCTGCACTCTGAGCTGTCAGTTATTAATAACCTCAGGATGCCTGTGCAAACAGACTTCAAGAGTCGAATTCACAGCACTCTGCATCAGCACTTTGTGCTGGGCAGAGCTTGCCTGCACCCAGGAGGTACCCTGGGTGAGTGGGGCTGCTGGAAGAGCCTCCCCAGCAGTATCCACAGACAGGTTGGGAGGAAACGGCCCACTGCTCAGCTGTGGGGCAGGTGCATGAGCTGGTCTGAACGTGGCACTGCAAGCCTGAGGTGAGTTGACCTGGAAAAAAAATAATTTAGAGTAGAGGCTGGAGAGTGTAATGACTAGTTTGGTTTGTAGCAAAAACAATCAAATGACTGCTGCAGAGTCATGTAGGAAAAGGCAGAACAATTGCTCAAGGGAGAAAAGAGTAATTGTGGCCTGACTTTGTGTATGGGATAGCAGGGAAGATGGGGACTGAGGCTCCAGCAGCATCCCATGACGGGGTAGCAGGAAGAGCAGTAGTCATGGTGCGGATTTGGGCCCTGCCAATACTGAAGACGGCTGCCATTTTCCTATGCTAAACTCATTCCAGGTAGTAGGTTTTCTACTCCTCAGTCCTGATGGATCAGTGAGGGACAGCAGAAAGGGACAGACTGTTCCTTGGGAATTAATATACTGGAGGGGCACAATTCCCTAATGGTGCCAACTCTTCCTGTCTTGCCCCAAGGAATCCACATTTGGGGCATGCAGACGATTTCCCTCTGTTTTGCCAGTCTTGTGGCCCATTAGATGGGCTGTAACCTTCCAACGCCTGACTCTTGGCAGTATTGCCCCTTTCCTGTCAAATAAGACCTCCTTCTTTTATATAGCCAAGCAGATGTCTGCCTGCTCGAGGAGAATGTGCAGCGCATGCTTTATGGCTGCACCTGCTCACATTTGCTTAGGGAATATGCCTGGGTGGAATCTTCTACAGTATGAACTACACTGGCAGCATCTCAGTAGAGAAAAGCTTGGAAATCAGAAAGGAAAACAAATAATCTGAGAGAGTATCTGGCAGTATGATTGGAGCTGGCTTAATGGGGCTGGGCTTTCAGCTGTTGTTGCCACCTCATCACAGGAAAATCATGTTGCAAAAGGAGAAATGGTGGAATAAAACTGCAAAACACATGGAAGATAAAAATGTCTCAAGCACAACAAGGACAGCGCGCAAACTCCTGGAGCTACCTCTTTGCTTGCTAGTTTATATATATAACTATATTTATAGTTATATAAATATAACTCATAGTTCAGTGTCTTCTGCTCTGAAATTTTAAGCAAGTAAAGCTGCAAGGACAGAGATGATCAGTTACCATATTCTCTTGCTGAAGCCAATGGATCATTACTTGTTTATATTTCCACTGTACTGTATTATATGAGGATCTGTCTCCCTGTATGCTGTTGTTTGGGCACTAACAGTGCTAAAGTGAAGGCAAGACATTAGACCTACTTATGTTATGCTGCGTTATGTGTGATAACCCCCAAGAGGGACTGAAGATGCCTGAAGTGGAATTACTCAGATTTCTCTGAGCTTTCCCTGACTTTAAACTACTTTTATCCCATCTGGGGACAAAGATGGAAAATAGAGTACAAGACGAAATTTCCCTGTTCCTCTCCTCCCCCCCCTCCAAAATGATACATGATAAGATCAATACATAAGATAAAGGAGCAACTGACTTCAAACAACTTGGACAAACAAGTTTTGCTTTAATAGGTTTGCCTGTGCCTTCTTTCTCCAACCCTCCTGCAACAAATCAGAACTATGCAGGGTTTTTCGTTTGTTTGTTTTGCAGGAATTGCGGCATAGTGAGTTTCTGAATATTCTAATCATCATAAAACTGTCAGAACATCCAAATCAAACTGGCACATTATTCAAAATGCTCCCAGATATCCCATGGACAGACCGAATATCTTTATCCAAAATCATACATAACCTCCAAATGATAACTGCATGGTATTATAGCATGTTATGACAGAGCAATTTTTCAAACTGATGCTTTGTTATTGCAGCACAGCAAGGTAACAGAGTACCACTGTGGCACATCTGTGTGCTGGGAGACTGCCACATTGCAACTATAATGTCTATTTTGGATGGAAATTGCTATGTGGTGCTGTTGCAATGCTTCTGCTGTGACCTGTTGCTGTATTTTGTGTCCTAATGCAACGTCTCCAAAGAATACCATAATATTCTGCTCCTTCATGCGGATGGGACAGAATAGAACCTGTGTGTGAAATGAAGGCCACGTGTCTCTTAACTGTAGATGGCAACTAAAGATAGGCAAAAGATACCTTTCCAGTGTTTCATTCTCCATTTCCTTGTGTATTTAGAGCAAAGCAGAGAACTCTTTGTGGGAATGCCCCTAGCAGGGACTCCTGCTCCTCTTAAAAGGAAAAAGCCCACAAAACTCATTGGGAAGCTGACACACGAAGGTAAGATATGCAAAACTGCACACATGAGAATTGTTTGGATCTCAATCTGAATTTCAGCTTTCAAAATTTCACACTCTACATGACTGAAATCCTAGGGTAAGATATGCATTGAACATACCAGGAGGCAGGGCCCCAGGTATTATTAAAGCTGAGCCTTCAACCACAACACATTTTGTAACTTCCTATTAAACACTTCATTTACACAGTACCTATGTGAATAGAAAGAAAATATTATCTTTTCTGGGCATTGATGCTGCAATGTCTACTTATATTCCATTTTAATCTTTTTCTTAGAATCTTTGCCTCTAATTTCTTTTTCCTCTTTGCGAGAGAATTCCTTTGATTCCAGCACTCATTTGTGGAAAAAGACAATTTCTCTCAGTGGGGGTAACAGCAGAAAGAGCATAACCCAGGACACTTTTCTTTTCACAGAAAACATGAATATTGAATAGGATGGCATTTAACTGACATCATCTCTTTACTTTTAACAGTATGGGGAATGCTTTTGGAGGTTTGGAAAAGTAATGATTCAGTGCTGCCACTTCCTTCAGGTCCCCAAACAGACTGTAGAAACTTCTGTGTTAGGGCACTTGTATTTATTTTTCTGTTTTTCCCCAATCCTGCAATGAAGTAAACAAGTAAGTAAAAATCCAATTTCCAATTAAAGGCATTTTCTCCTGTTTTAGAAAACAGTGTCATATAGAACTAGCTTGCTAAAAAACAGGAAATTTCTCTAGAGGACATCTATTAAAATGAGAATGGACTTATGCCAATGTTATGCCAGTTTAATGATGAAGATTTATTCTCTGTTGTGAATGAGAAACTGAGGCAGATAAGTGGTTCAATCCTTGCTTAATAAGGATAGGAAAAAAAACATAAGTCAAGTTGCTTGATTCCAGATGGAGCGCTCTAGCTGCATCTATGGAAGACTTTTATACTGAAAATGTTTGTATGCATAGCTTTGACAGAGAATTGGTGGTACGAAATTACACGGAAAGCAAGTTACCTAGTAATCAGCATGTTAAGTCTTGAAGAGAAGTTTGATCACTTTGCCTTTTAAAAATTCCCCTTAAAACAAATGAACAAAAAGATACAATCACATCATTAAATCTCGCTGTGGTTTCAAGGTAATGTTTAAATGAAAGTTTCCTAAAAAAGTTAACTTACATGAGAACTTGGCTGCTTTGAAGCAATGTACAAGAGGGCTGGAGCAGAGCACTTCCTAACATGTTCCTTGTGTATGTTTTGTAGTCATGCCGCAAGAGGGACTGAACCTGGGGAAGAAGATCAGCATCCCCAGAGATGTGATGCTGGAAGAACTTTCTCTCCTCACTAACAAAGGATCCAAGATGTTCAAATTACGTCAACTGAGGGTGGAGAAGTTCATTTATGAGAATAACCCCGATGCCTTCACCGACAATTCTGTGGTAGGTTGGAAATTAAAACTGCAAAGCTGCTCTGTGCATCAAGGGGGAACAGGAATGGAACGTTCACAAGCTCTGTTCTTTCTGTCTCTACGCGTATGGGCAAAGAAGTGCAGAAAAAAGCCAAACGAATTAGAGGAACACATATGTTTTTTGTTTCACAGCCTCACAGAATCACAGAATGACCAGGGTTGGAAGGGACCTCAAGGATCATGAATCTCCAACCCCCCTGCCACAGACAGGGCCACCAACCTCCCCATTTAATACTTGACTAAGCTGCCCAGGGCCCCATCCAGTCTTGCCTTGAACACCTCCAGGGATGGGGCATCCACAGCCTCTCTGGGCAGCCTGTTCCAGAACCTCACCACTCTCCCTGTAAAGAATTTCCCCCTGACCCCTGATTATCCAACCTAAATCTTCCCTCCCTCAACTTAAAACCATTTCCCCTTGTTCTGCAGTTATCAACCCTTTCAAAGAGTTGATTCCCCTCCTGTTTGTTTCTTTTGGCAGCAGCTTTAGTTTCCATCTGTGAATAGTTTGGTATCATGCAAACAACAGCATGGGAAAACATAGCACTGAGTGACGAGGGAGGACTGCATGTTTATCAGGCATTCAGAACTGCACAGGGCGCTGTACCCCTCCCCTTTTCTCTTTGCAAGACGGAAGCAATCCAGTCAAGTCTGACTTCAGCAGCAGTGGGTGAGGTTCTATTTTTAGCCTTGGACACAATTTTATTCCTCCTACTGGGCACAGTCCCCTTCTTGTATCTGCACAAAATTCCATAAATGAAAATTCAGATAGAAATTTCCAAGATGACACTGCAATTTATTCACTTTATTTGCTGGAAGCTATGGCTGGCTTTTTTCTAGTGCATCTTCCTATTAGACACAATGCCTTTTTTCCTCTTTCCCATGAATTAGTTCTTTCATTTAATCTTTCTTCAGTTACTTGCCTGAAGTAAAGTCTTCTCAAGATATTGGAACTCTTACAAAAGGAAACTCTCCTTTTATATAATGTTAGGAATTCAGTAAAACAACATTTGGATGCAGCATCTCATCTTCTGATGCTCTCTAAGCTTTATTTGGTGGTACAATTTTGTCCCTTTGTGGCATCTGTTTTCCAGTCTTGGAAAACTTGAGCAAAAGATGAAAGTCAAGCTGAAGAAAATGTTCTGCCAAAAAAAAAAAAAAAAAATCTTCTATTCTTTAGCTCTCTGATATTTTCAAAAGCAGCTGGTAAATCTTTGTATTCGACTCCCAGAATTGACAATTTGGGAAGCAGGATGTGGAAAGATGTCTGAAAAGAAACATTAAAATTGTAGCAGTGGGTTGGATTATAGATCAGGGATGACAGATCAGAGATACAGCAAAAACGTATCATATTGCTAAACTGAGGCAGTTTCTTCATCTCTTGGTGCCTTAAGGCAGCTCAATCAGCTCTCTTAGAAAAGATGTGAGAACGAAGAGTGTGTTGAACTCTAGACTCTGCAGATGGAAATCCTAGAGAAATGCAAGTTGATCTTATAAATACTCAGCAATCCCAGAGCTCCTAGAATGTACTGAGGGCCAAGTTCCTATGTCAGAATATGAGGGCTGCTGCAATTGAGGATGGCAGGAGGAGTGAGAAAATAAGGTGAGGGAATGAAAAGACTGAAGTCCAAACGTGCAAAAATTTGAAGGTGTCACTTAGGGGTCTCCAATCAGAGAAATACAGCGTGAGTACACAACATGAGTTGTGATAAACTAGCTTAGAGTTGGATTTGCAAAAACAGAGGTACTGCAGTTAACAGAAGTACTGGGTCTCTCCAAGACTAATGCTACAAAGGCTGACGACAATCACTAATTCTCTGTTAGCTGTTTTTATTTTTTCAGTAAGTTTATTCATCCACATCTGACATTCATTCCATACCCTTTCGTAGTGAACCTGTACCTTTATTCTGCAAGGACATCCTTACTCTCCTGCTCTTTGAGTAAATTTGCTGTGGAAAAACGTATTTGGGAATTAGACAAGGTCTTAACAAGGCTAGGATTTTCTTCATGGCTTTGTTATATGGGAACAATGTAGGGTCTCCAAAGAGCAGCTGGTACTCCACATTAAAATCTTCTATGATTTCCATTCAGGGCTACCTTTTCTCTACGCTGACAGAGCAAGTAACAAATCTCTGTTGGTCAGTGCAGGAAGACTTCAGTTTGCCATACTGCCCTTGACTGAGGCCATTTTAATAGGACCACAAACATAATTGTTACCATTTGCTGGCTGCCCTGTGCACTTTGTGCAAGGACTCTGCCAGACCGCATCCATTGCCTCTGTAGATGACTGTTCTAATCATCACAGCCAGCACAAATTAGCACCTCAGCTGGCAGCCAGAGCAGCAAGAAGAAAACTTGAGTGATCTCAACAACAGAGCCATCCCCTTGGAGGGTTGGTTGCTATCAGGCAGCTAGATAAAAGCAGCAGATCTGTGGCCTCACTGCTATCTTCCAAGCCATCAGGAAAATGCCTGACCTCTGCATCAAACCACTTTATCAAAAAAACCTTTTGATTGCACTATTTGATTAGCAATCTGGTCCCTTCAATTCTTGCTCCTGGCTTTGCTCAAAGAAGGATTAAAAGAAGGGTTAAATGAAAAGGAACAGTGAGAGGAAGATAACAGCAGAGTAGAGAATTCCTACTACTACTTCCAGTCATTTCCTCCACCCAGATAATTTTCATGTCCTTTGCTACTCATCCCTGAGTAGTTATTTTGCCTTCAAGTTGTGAAGGGATTTAAAGCTGGTGCTGTGTTTTTTTGTTTTCATATCATGGATTTCTTAATGGTCTTAGAAAGTTCTCAGGAAACACTCAGCAAAGCAAAGCAAGAAAGGGTTGGCATGGACTACAGATGATTTCTTTCCCTCCAGAAAAAAAGATTAACAGCAAGGTAATGTAATATAAAAACAAGACAAAGTGAAAGGTTATTAAAATAAATCCAAACCATATAAGGGTTTCCAGAACAGCCTGTGCTATGGCCATAAACCTTCCACACAAGGCGAAAGATCTCAGCAGTCATGTCATTGATCCACTCTCCTGCTTCCACCCTCCACCTCCTTTTCCTCATCCACTCAAACAACCACACAGCGCAATCAGATCACTATCCTTACTTCTAGCAGAGAAAACATACGTAATGCATGTGCATGAATGTCAGATAGCCCATGTAAAAGAGAACGTCACACTCCCTCTTATCACTGCTACATGTCCACCTACTGTGTATCAGTCCTCAATATTGTGCCTCTTCTCTTGAAAATATACAGCATACAGACATGTTTTTAGCAAGAACTGAGTCTGACATTTTTTAGCACACTGATATCCTGACAAACAGGGAGAGTTCGTGTCATGTTCTCCCTATTGGTACCATGCAGGAGCTCTGCCTGGCTTTGGCTACTAAATCAGAAGGATTTCTTCTCCCTACCTCCTTCTGTGCCACAGTGTTGTGGGAACTATGATTCATTCCATGTCTCAGAGAATATTATCAACCTCACTGTGGAGTTGCAAGGTGCAGTTTGTTATTTACTAAAGAATATTGCAAAATTCTAGTTAGCTATGTGCTTGATTGCCATAGCATCTGATAAGTCACTACAGGAAGGAAATACTTCATTTGTTATTTTAAAGTAAAACTGAGGCAGAGAGAGTCTCAGTTCTACCTCTGGGTCTCCTAAATTGCACTTTACTGCTCAGAATTACAACAGCAGTTCACAGACCTTTTCTCCACATCATAATATTTATATTTTTGTCCTCAAATACATCAACATTAATTGAAACTACACTTTTTAGCCCTGCAGCCCCGCTTATTTTTACCCTTACTCTTTACAAAGTCCCACCTCTGCTTTCAGAAGCTTTGTGAAAGACCTTCCTGGTATCATTAGATGGGAACTGTTTGAAAACAAAATCATAGTTATGCTTTTTGGATGTTGCTATTATGATGTCTTTCTTCCAGTGAGACTCCTTAAAAACAATCTTTCTGCAAGTCAAAATTTGTGGTCTGATTTGAGCTATATGTGGAAAATATGTCTTGTAGAGGGATGTGATTTGTGTCTATTTTTTTTCTGTTTCAGTTTTGCCTACCACATCTTAAATTTGAACCATTAGCAGGGTGGAATAACCAACATCTGCGTAGACAATTACCAGTTGTCATGCATCTGAAAAAAAAATAGTAATAATACCCACAAACATAAAAACCCACCTTAATAGACTCTCGGCACAGCCCATGAGTTACAGTAAAGGTAGTTCCCACATCTTGACAACGTCTATGTGAAGACAAGCTGAACATGTGTGGACAGGTAGTTTCTACTGGACTTCAAGTCAGGAGGGCTCATTAGATTGTAAACAACGGGAAACAAAACATAGGCATTGAAAAAGGGTTAAAGAACTGGATTACTGTTCTTCTGCATAGTGACAGGAGACACCCTGTATTTCTTTTGCAGCTTAACAAGAACCCAGTGGAGTAAGAAGAAGTGACAGGTAGAAAATGGAAGTGATTATGTTACAATGCCTAAAATGGTGCATCGCAGCAGACGAAAATACACTAACAGCCTCACAGACCTCACATGTGAAATGGCCAAACATTATATAACATTTCAAGGAAAGTATAAGGGTGGAAGAATAGGAGAGTGACCATGGAGCTACTTGGCTTGTGTCACAAGCATAAACTGTTGGCTCTGTTTGCTTTTTAATATATGTACTTAGTGGAATGCCAAAGATCACTGGCGGTAGTTTTAAGTGAAAATATTAGGAAAAACACTCTTTTTAGAGGTCTGTTCTGCTGGGAATATTAAACTCCTTGAACAAATCTTACTAAATAAGCTGAGATATAAAAAACTCCAAGAGCGTGACATGAGTGGAGTGAGCCAGTTGAGATACAACTTTTCTAATAAAATGAGCTTTGCTGTGCTGGAATTGGACTGGGGCAGAAGACCTAAAGCAAGACTTAGAGGTCCCAATTTAGTCCTAAACTGCATAAAAGTGAATATGAAATCTGATGGTTTCTTGTTCAAGAGGTAACTGGCATGGAAAAAGTAGAAAGGCGGAGAGGAAGAGACATTGTTTCGCCACAGCAGTTTGTTGGAGCGCTGTGAGGAAAGTTTAGACGGAAATTCAGAAACTCAATTTCTTTCATCCACAGAGAAAATGTAGAAAGGATGACAAAAAAAAAACCACGCAAATAAGATATTTTAAAACACCTGTAGCATGAGATAAAAACTAACATAATTTCAATGGGTAAAGTCAGAGAGTGAAGTGAAAAATTCTTTCTGTAAAGTTAAAAAGCAAGTCAGAAACAGAGCTGGAAATAGAAAGCAGGAGCTGAACCAACCTAACTGCCTCTTGGGGGAACATGACTAAAAAATCAAAATAGCTTAAGATACTTTAACAGCTGAGTTTATATTCATCCTTTTATAAAAAGTGAATCACAGGCTTAAGGCAGTGCAAAACCAAATTAAGGACTGACGGACACCCCTTTTCCTTACGTTTTCATAAAAACATCAGGCAGTCTTATCCAGTGATCCCTACTCTCAAATTCAAGTGTCTAAATTTTAAATCAGCCATCCTGCCATAAAGGAACATTGGAGTGGCTGCTATTGAGAGGACATAGTCACAGTAACTTCAGAACTGTTAGTAACCACATAGGCATCAAGTCTTTGGGAAGCTCTTTATCACTGAGGCGGAAATAGAAACACATATGTTGGCCTCAATCATTCTCTTTAGGGCACAGCAAGGAATTGATGGGAAGCACACGGTGTCTCCTCCCGGGGACTGCCTGCAGTGACGTCAGGGCGTTGAGATACTTAGAGATCTCAGCTCCATTAGCTGGATCGTCTTTCATCATCTATTTTTCATGAGACACATGCAGCAGTCCTAGAGAATTCAGAATTAATTCGACCCAGGCACTCAGCCTGCAGAACCAGACTCCCACTAGTGCTAAGGTCTTCAAAGACACAAGCACAAATTGTTTAGGTGAGCCAGGAGACTGTGCATCACATGAAGTTTCCACAACTGTTCTTTTCACAAGGCAAATCTAGGGATGCATAAGGACTGGGACTGTTTCCTACCTCCAGCAACACCCAAACAGAGTTAACTATACCACAACACAGAAGGACTGTGATCTGTCCCCAGGGCCAAGAGAAAAGGGTTATCAGCTTTCTCAGTTGACACTCTCGGGCTTTTCTCCTGGGACTTCCACCAACAGGATAAGTGAACCCTGCAAGGTGACTTTTATGATGTGAACATGCATCTTGAATATGCAAGTTGCCACCAAAGGCACAAGCCATGCATTTCACCCAAATGAAAGCCATAATTCTCTCTGAAGACCCTGACCAGAGACCAAGTTGTACTTACTAAACTTTGACTATGTCAAAGCTCTGCTCCAAAACTCAGGATTTCAAAAAGATAGATCGCCTTTACCTTCTATTATATAATAGATTTTCCTGTAAATTTGATTTAAGATAGTCCATTGTGGTAGCCAAAAGTAAAGAAAACAATTTATTCTAGTAGATGAGTAGAGTTGGGGTATTACATGGAAAATGGTTTCCTATCTGAATGGTTACATCTCCTGAACACAGGATGTTTTCCTGATGGGTCAGTGACGAATCACAAAGTAGGCTGAGACCAATCAAACTAATTTAATTTGCAGATAAGCAGGATTTAACTGTGGCTTTCCTGAGGCAGACTTTGTGTTTCGGAAAATTTCACTTCTGTTCAGTGGTAATACTGCAATTTAAAATAATACAAGATGGCAATGATGCCCCTTCCTGGTCACGCCAAATACTGCTGTAGTGCACAAACTCAAATCAGCTCATTTTACTGTGGTTCAGGTTATCCTCATACTCCTAATGCTTTTTGATCCTTTTTTTCCCCCCTCTTTTCTTTCTTTTTCTTTTCTCTCTCTCTTTTTCTTTTCCCCAGAAAAGTGAATGTAAGTTAGCACAGGAGAAGAAAAACAAGCATTTAATTCTGAGGAAGGGCATGCAGCGTGGGTGAAGCTTGAAGGAAAATCCTGCTTTGAAATTACTGAGCATATCAGTAGAAGCATTAATCTTCCATGTCTATTAAGCTTTTGAGAGTAACCTCATTCTGACCCCTACCCCTCAAAAAAAAAAATCCTTGTTTCAGCTTGCCTTTTTACAGTTACATAGCTCCCACACATAATTGAACAGATTGCCCTGCTAGATCCTGTGTACAGCTTAAGCTTCACACTCACAATCCTCTCCCTTCTTAGTGCTTCCTGACATTCAGGGGAACATTATCTACTCTACTCCTAAAAAGGGAATTCCCTACAGCTAGGAGAAGGACGGACAGTCCCTAAAGGCCCTGGGGGCACCAGCTCTGCCACTTCAGCCTGCAGCTGGCTCCCTGCCTGGGTTGCAGCCTGGTGACCTGCTGTGAAACCCTGGACACTGTTGTTGGAGACACACGGAGCAGAGGGTTAGATAATTCTTCTGCCTAGAGCCTTGTGAGGTTTTTACTTCTCATCTATTTTTAGTTGACCAAACAGCTGGCCTTGGAAGCCTGTTTACAGCCTGGAAAGCTGCTTTTTGCTAAACTGTACTGGGTGTAAGAGCCCTGAGAAAAACTTAACCCCTTGGGAGCTCTCAGATCAGCACTTCTGCCTCCCAAGGACTGGCCATGAGGAATTTACACAAGCAGAACTGCAGCATGAGGAATGACAGATTCAGTAACCTTCAGCTTTATTTCTGGTATATTTGCATACTTGTAGCCTATCCTCTATTTCAAAAGAAAAGACATAAACCAGGCTTCTAGCTCTTTAGTGTAAATCTCAAAGTATAAATACCTCCCCATGCTGACTTTCATATATATGGAAAACAGCCATACTGACAAGTTATCTGTCAGGCTTTCATATTGCCATAGGTACCCTGCTGCTGTTGTGCTTTCTAATGCTTAGCTCCCACATGAAACAATTTCCATCTCTTGTCCATTTTGCTTTTCCACAACTTGAACAGTGTCTCTGTTTGAACTTTCACCTTCTCTGGCAAAAGCTGTTATTTCCTTCTGTATTTCATATAGATCACTGCTGGGAACAGTACACAGAACCGCCCAATTAAAAGTGTCCTTCAGTTGTCCGTGTTGCTAAAACTGCTTCTAAACTGAATAAAGAGAATAACTCACACAAAGTTCTGCCACTGGTTTTGTAATCAGGACAAAGCTGGTTAGAACCCCGGGAGTCAGGGGTTTGCATTCTGGGACTGAATCCTGCAAGTGTGAGTAACCAATGTCCTGTAATATGGAATTCTACTCTTTTCTCTTGCCTTAGGATCACTTTCAGAGGTTCATCCCACCAGGAGGGCATTATGGAGAAGATGCTCATGGTTATGGCCACGGGCGGATGGTAGGAGGAGTGACAGCAGGGCATCATGGCTCCAGTAAGCAGCACTATTCCACCGTTCCTCCTAGGCCTGGAAGCAAAGGAGGTCCTGGAGACAGCGAAGGGGAGCATGCAGAAAAATCTGCTGGAAGTGCTGGAGAAGGAGGTCACGGTACTGAGAAAGGCAAGTATCTCTCTGCAAGAGCAAGAAATAGATAAAGCTATCAGAGCTTGTGCCAGTCTTACTCTTGGAGACAAGTAAATGAAACTGACTAAAACCCGTATTCTTACAAACTAAGTTGCACTGCAAAGTTTAAGATGTTTTTGACTGAGTGTTTCCTTGTTGCTCATTCATAAACAAAAAGCAGAGATACCTGCCTTGATTGAACCAAAGAAATGATGGGAAAATCCTGAGATTTTAAGGTTAGTAAGCAATATGCCTGTACAGTATGAGCTAAAACCTTTCCTCTGAAGGGTTTCACGTTGAACACTGTTGGAGACAGCAGGAGTAGCTTTTTAGCTCAGTAGTTTGACCTGACACGTCAGACTCGAGAATATCAATCCTAATTTCAAAATAAGGTCTTCACCTGAATGAACAGCATATTCTGGGTAATATTAAGAAAGAAACAGCAATATCTCTAAATGTTATCTACTAATCATCACTTAAAGCAATATCTTTATGAGGCAGAGTATCTTCCACTGATTTTAGTCCTGATTTATTTTTGTCTTCCACTGAGTTTCACCAGAAGGCTCCGGAATCAAATCCCTTGCATGAAAATCAGCAGATGAAGTAATTATTTTAACAGTTCCAATGGCATTTTAACAACAAAAAGCAAATTTGCTTGGGAACTGTGAATAGGTATCATAAGTGACCAACTACTTTGAGTGACTTGTAAAATCCAAGGTTTTCCATTTACATTCTGGAAGAATGTCCATTTTATATCAAATCTGGCTTTTATACTTCTGGATATCCCTCTGAGAAAGAAATCTGTGAAACTAGATAGCATTTTGCCTTTCCCAAGAATTTTCCCTGAAATAGTGAAGAGATGAGGGTTTTGAGCATCCAGAGGGAACAGTAAAAATATAACTCTCAAATATATGCTTTAAAATAAGTTCCTGAGTGAGTGGCTCTTAGGCTGTGATACATCTGATTTTGTGGATAAGGACAGAAGTAGCTCAGTTAGAGAAATCTAACCATGCATTCTGGGTGCTTCAGCTTCAATGTCAAGATAGATTTTCAATAGCAAGAAAGGTGTGGTATTTGGGGCACTTGTCATCTAATTAGATGGTTTTACTTTCATCTGTTTACAGATGGAAAATCAGGAGGCAAAAAACCTCTGTTTAAAACTTACATCTCCCCCTGGGAACGAGCAATGGGTATCAGCCCTGAGGACAAAAGTCAAATGACCATTGACTTATTATCATATAGTCCCAAAGCTGATTTCCCCCATTACAAGTCTTTTAACAGGTAAGTCTTCTGGGATATAGAATTCCATTTACTTTGAATGAAAATAACAACCACAATAGTTTGGGGCATGGTTCTCCTGTGTTGTGCAACGTAAATTAGTATTAGTTGCGTGTCATTTTACTAATTGCAGTCTCCTGTGGGTGAAAAGATTGGAGGCCTTTAAAGAGAAGATACATTAAGAACTAGAGATTTTAATTCTGCTTATAGACCTAGGTAGCGGGATAAGAGGACTTTAATCCTATTTCCCTTTCTTTCTCCTCACATTTGGCATGCCACTGCTTATTACTGTAGCTCTTTAAAGTTCAAAAGTTCAGGAAAAATACTCCATATCAGAAGCCATATACTTGCCAGTACTTCGGATAAGAATCAGGATCTTCCTGCTGCTTCTGGTAAGAACTGAAAGTTTGTAGTGAATTGAAAGTTTAGTAGATTGTTGCTATCTCTAGTGCAGCAACAATCTTATGTTAACCACTCTATGGTTTGCACTTACTTTTGTAGCTTTAGAACATCAGTACCTAGGAAATAACAAACCCCATCCTTTCTGCAGTAATGCAGCCTCTGCCTCCAAAACGTAAAGGATATCTTCAGGTGCGAAAACTGTATGGTTTTACAGAGGCTTATGCAGCAAAAACTAAAGAAGTGCACAGAAGCAGAGAGGATTTGTTTCCTTTTTTGTTGTTTTTCTAAGCACACAGACGATAGATATGTATGCTCTTGGGCAGGATTTGGTAGTTAACTGCAACAGCAGTAAAATATACCATTTCTATGTATTTAATTTTTTATTTTCTAAATCCCATTGTTTACTTATGTTCTCTGCACTAAGTCCATTGTTTTTCCTTTGCCAGGACTGCCATGCCATATGGGGGTTATGAGAAAGCAGCCAAACGGATGACCTTCAAAGTGCCTCAGTTCGACATTTGCCCTTTGCTTCCAGAATCTATTGTGTTATATAATCAAAATTTCAGAAACAGACCCTCCTTCAACAGAACCCCAATACCTTGGATGCCTTCAGGAGAGTCCTCTGAGTACCACACCGACATCAATGTGCCGAGAAGTGGTGAAACAGAAGAGCTGTAAATCCCTACCACAAAGTCTTTCTTTTTTTTCTTAGCCCTTTCTATTTGCAAGATGGTAGAAAGGAGCTGAAAAGTGCAACTCTAGTCCTGTGAGTCCTTTTTTTTTTTTTTTTTTTTTTTTTTTTTGCCTGTAGCCCCAACAAGTTCCTGGTGATTTCTAAGCTTAATGCTCGCTGTGGTGTTAATCCATGTCAGAAACAGTTTGAGGGAAAGGAGTTTTTATTCACCGGGGCATAAAAGGGCAAAATTAGCAATTTGTTTTCTGTTTAGCAATGCTAAATACTGCCTGTCTGCTTCATAATGAATTTGTCATATATTCACAAGTAATAAAACACCAAGATGAAATTAAAAAATTCTGCTTTTTCTCTTTAAAAATGCCGCTGAATCAATAGCAATAATGAAATCAGTAGCAATAATGAAAGATTCAGTCTCACAACAAGGCTGTTAGCATGAGAAGAAAGGTCTGGGACAGTCGCAAATAGGCAGGTGTAGATCAAGGCATGAAGGCATACATACATCCTGGTGAGTTGGATAAAGACCTTGGGTGGTGAGGAATGATCTATTTCGGAGGGAACGATGCAAGTAACAGCATCAGAGATAAAGTAACAACTGAGTCTCTTGATGTAACAGGCAGATTACAGTATTGTAGTATCATCTGAAATACCCCAGTTCTCCAAGTGTATCATAAGCAATAGCTTAGAAAAAGAAGGCAATGGGCTGGAAGAGCACAGAGGCACTTTGACATGAGATCACTTGTCTACAGCTACAGATCAAGCAATAAGAAGTCTTCATTACAACAGAAATACTTTGACAACCACCACAGTGCAACACTTATTCAAATATGCCTCAGAATGGATTCAATTTCTTGTTAACAGTTGTATCAGTGCAACACACACAGGAAGAAAGCCAGTCACTGTGAAAAACAAATGAAGAGCATTGGCTGTCTTCACTGAATGCTTTGTTTCATGGATATTTGCACTCTGACACACGACACACACAGCACTTTCAACACTGTACCCTGGCTTAGCCTGCACAGACTCTGGTTTGCAGCTCCTTGTCCTGCTCAATTCTTTGGATCAACATTTCCTCTTACAAGCAGGGCTAGAAAACTTATTTGCAGGTACAGTTTCCACTGAAGTATTTCTTGTTCAGGATTTTTTTCCTCCTCGATGAGAAATCCCTATAATAGTGTATGTTTTTTGTTGCTTATGTAGCTACAAGGTTGGCTTTGTTCCTCTCCTCTAAATGGCTACAGCCAGGGCTACCTGGAGATTTCTTAAAAATTATGCTAGCAACATCAAGCTGCAGAAGTGATGAATGAGTAGTTTCCTAAACATTCTGCTGAAGTTTATTATATGTCTTATTTAAAGATAAAGATGTATTTGGGACTCAGTTTAGTGAATACATTTAAAAGCAATAAGGCCATATTTCTTTCCTCCGGAGAAGATCATGACCTCGTCTTACACAGCACTTGAAGTTTGAGTTGAAAAGACTAAAAAAGAAGGACTAAATGAAAATGCAGGGAAAGGTAAGAATTACAGAAATAGCACAGTGCTCTCTGGCTCTGCATTCTCAAAGTTCCCTCATACAAGGGGCCAACATCCACCAGTAGGTCAAAGGACTGGAAACACTTCTGAAACTCTCTCTGGTTCATAACATACTGTTGGACAAGAGTTTCTGTCCGTGTGCTTCTTTATTCCAAACCCTAACTGGGGATAAGAAGTTGCAACATGCTTGGAATTAGTATTGTATAATTGCAAATTATCACTAATACTGCTATCATTACTAATATTCATAAGAGGATCCTTCAGTTTTGGTAAATCTGCTTAATGAGGCATACAGCTCTTCTTTTGAGAGTACACTTTCAACCTCAAATCCTGTTAAGTGGAATTTATGTGCTTTTGCTTCTAGTACAAAATGGGAAATCTAACATTACATTTTGTACAACGATTCAGACAACTACTATCTTTCTGTTTACATAGTGTAACTTATTTGCTACCTCAATCATTATCCAGTTTAATGTTAAGAGTGAGAAGAATCAGTAATCCAAATTCTGTCTCAAAAATCATTGGCACAACTCTGTTAATTTCAATGAGGCTTGTAGCAAATGTAATCAGGGCAGAAGTCTGGCCAAAATGTTCAAATATTTAAGAGAATGTTGGTAGCTGCTTCTGCTATTTGTTTTCCTTGTGCTATGATGTAGGCTCAGGGGAATCGCCCGTCAGATATTTACTTATATTGTGAATAAGAGGATTTTCTAAGATTTAATTACACTGGATTCCCTCCACAAACTAGAAGCTGCAAATGGAAACTCAGCCATCTGCTTTTAAGCAGGATCATAGCGGTCACAGACAAAAAGGACCTAACAAAATATTGTTCCCACCCTTTTGTAAAGGCCGGATACAATCCTCTCAGACATTAAACTTACATTCCATGGAACAGCAGCCAAAAAAGAATTTAACAGAGAGGGGCTGACCCATGAAAAGAAAGATTGGTTACAATTTTGTGACACTCAATTTTAGAACAAATATCTTCTAACATTCTTAGGTTTTTTCAGTATTATCCTCTTGTTTCCAAGCTCTGAAATGCTTCCTCCGTGTAGTGAGACATGTATGATGAAGAATCATCCAAGCCATACCGAAAACATGTAAAAAAGTACTCCCTGCATTTAATACAACAGAAAGGAGTTGAACAAATCTCAATATTACTATCCATAAATACGTATTAAAATCCTGTCTGAAGTTATACCTGTAAACTGTAAGACAGGTAGTGGCGCAGTTGGTAAGCTTTTCTGTGTTCTGCAGAAATTCTGCCATTTGACTGCAATATATTCCCTAATCGAAGGCCTTCCATCTCATCATAGACTGCCTCACATAAGCAGCTCATCCTTATGGTGATGAGAATATAATTCATACAACTAACATCTGGGGATTACATTTTGTTGTTACTGACAGAGCATTTAGAGGAGATGGCTTTGTCATTAGGCTTAGTGGCTCAGAAACAAAGCTTAGAACAGTTTCTAGCTGTTAGTAGAATATGGCTTCCTTTGTTTGACTTGTTTTCTTTATTCATACTGTGAACACATAAAACGTATTCATTTTACAATATACAAAATGATATATATTCATTTTGCATATGTATAAATGGTATGCATACATTTATATATATTTTCACATCTCTTCTACACAGGGGTAGCATCAGACAGGCAAAGCACGAAACCAATTGTTCAGTTATGTAGAAAACATGTTTGTACATGGCCCTAGTCTCCACACGTGGAGTACTGTCTCCTGGTGCAGAGCCTGAATATTCATTGCACTAAAGACTTTTTTTTCTCCTACTTAGCTTGCCCTGACTAAAGTTTATGTTCTTTTCCACAGAAGACTGACTGCCACAGGTGTGACCATCTGGCAAACATCCCACATCCAAAGGACTGCTCCTTGGCACAGCAAGCTGGTATGAGCACTTCTCTGGCAACTAACGGAGTTCACAGCTGCCCATCAACTGCAGCTTGTATGCTAACTCCTCTTGGATATGTATTAGACAAATTTGCAAGCCAGACTGCAAGCTCAGAACACATTAATACGTTTCTATGCAATTTAATCTATGCCAAACTCCTCAAATTGCAGCTTACTGACTTAAAACAAGTTGTTCAACACATCTTGGACATGTGCCTGACCAGAACCACAGATAAGCAGAATCTGCAGATGCATGCAGAACTGGGTTTTTGTGGAACCTTACATCTTTTCTGAGCTGCTGAGTATGTGGGATTCAAGCCATTTAATTATATCCATGGCATCATACAGATATATGATACTAGTAAAAGTATCTTCAGCTAGTGTAATTAATTAGCTGTGCCTCTGTGCTACACCTCTTGCTCTCTATGTATTAATCACACAGGAAGTGTTATCATCTCCCTGATGATCATCTTCTGTTTGCAGTATAGCTTAAATGATACTCTAATGAGTCTAAGTTCTTGCTTTGATACATGCTGTGCTAACACATGCAGCAAAGGGGAGAGGACTACACAAAATACTCTGAAGGAATGCTAAAGGTAACCACTGTTAGCTTAAAAAAAATATCTCACATATAAGCTCTCATTTAAATTTTCAATTAAATGTTCTGGAAACATCTCTTACAAAGGTCATTCAGAAAATGATGCCTCCAATTTATTTCTGTGGAAACACTGGGTGATAGAGCAAATTGTCAGCAACAAAACATGACTTTTCAGCATAGTCACCACCATTAGCCATGCATTTTACAAGCCTGCTTAGCTATCTGGAAAATGGCTCGTCTTTCACGATGCTGCTGCCACTGCTGAAAAGCATCACCCACGGCATCACTGTGCTCACATCCACTGTTTGCTCTCCATAAACATTCAGCAAGTGTCACTGAGCATCTAGGGGTGCCATTTTTGCTGCGTGGAGGAATTTCAGGACACACCTTTGCTTCATGCGTGCTTCCATGTCAGACACAATTTTGTCAGGCTGCCCCTCTGCTGCCATCTGTCGCACAGCAACAAAACGTAGCAGAATATTGCTGGGAAGGTTCAGCCTCTATTGCCATTCCACCAACATCTGCCACTGATGTTGTGAGTCAGCATAATAAAATAGGAAGTATTATTTTTGGAGCAGCCATCACATTTCATATCAAAACTCTCAATGTACATTTTCCAACTCTTTAAAAGAAAAACTGCAAGTTCCTTTTCTTTTTGTTCCCATTATTTCCCTATAGTTCCCATTAATAATAACAAAATTGTGCAAATATTTTTAGTTTCAGTTTTTCATTTAAAGAAAATTCTATGGAATTTACTTTCAGACAGAACTGGCACAAAAAAAAAAAAAAAAAAAAAAAAAAAAAAAAAGCCAAAAAACAGAAACAAAAAAAGGCAGATAATGACCACTGCCTTTTAAAACAGGTAGGAAAACATTAGAGGTATAGTTGCAGCCAGAGTTGAATGAACATTTTCAAAAGGCTACAGTGAACAAATACATGCATGAAATAAGGAGAAATTAATTTATGGTTATAAGTTCTTCTCTTAGTGCCAAACCAAAATAGTTTTTCTTCTTTCCTCTTCTAATAGGGCTTACCAGAAACAGATTTCTTGGAAATCTGGACAGGGAAGACATGACAATATTATGAAAGACTGGCAAACATCTAAATGAGCCATGGGCAGCACTGCTGCTTCTCTCCTGGTCCCTGCATTTGGAGCCGAAGAGAAGAAACAGTACAAGGAGGGCATTAAGAGCACTGAAAAAGGCTATCTGATAAACAACCCCCTGTACTGAAAAGCATTTTCTGCAAAATACCCCACCATAGAAAGGGTAAATAAGGACTCTGTAGATCTCCCTTTCTT